TTAGAGTTTTAATTTCGACTTTACTTTGTTTGAATTATACTACGATTAGATTCAAATTGAAAGATATACAATCCTTATGCATAAGTATTGTATACTTTGAATGTGAGGTTTTATTCAATTTTGAACAAGTGGGGGATTGTTAAAAATGTTGTTCAAAGTTGATAAAAAACAGTTGTGGAATAATGTGGAATGAAAATCAGTTTTGGAGGCCAAATTTTGATCTATGCGGTCTTGGTGTGGTCGCATAGGCCAAGGCATGGATTTTAATCCCTGCCGTGAAGAAAACTATGCGGCTGCATAGTGTTGAACTATGCGATTGCATAGAAGATGAAAAGAGCCATCAGTGACCGTTTTGTTCAAATTTTTGGTGGCTTTTGAAGGGTTTTTTGGCACCACTTCATATGACCATATCTCTTGGCTATATATATGTGGTTTGTGATTATTATAATGATGTTGAAAACATACAAAAACCATAGCCATATTCAAGAACAAAAATCATTCCAAAAATAACAAGAAATCACAATTTTCTTCATCATATTCAAATTCTTCTTTAGTGTTCTTCAAGTTTTGGAAAATTACAATTAATGCTTGAGTGTTAATTCTTTACGAGACTTATTTAAATCCTGCAAACGATTTGCCTTAATCCCTACAAGCATTATTTCAATTCGATAGGGGGCAAATATAGTTTGAGGACAACGATATCGTGTTTAAGCCATCGGTTTTCATTTTCAAATCAATTTCCTAGTTTGGTGTTTGGTTTAGTGCTTTCATTGGTGATTTTAATTTTTCTAGTTTTGATTCGTTGCTTTATTCTCCGATCCCTCTAATGGAAATCAAAAAAAAAATTCTCAACAAAATCTGATGTTTTTCCATTTACCTTACTAATTGTGTTCATCCAGCAACAAACAACAAACGTCTATCATGTATATATACACTTTTACGACGAAGTTCATGCCTTTCACAATGGCATATTGCTGTCATAAATACTATGTTTACTTGCATCTATGACTCATAGTTGGTATTTGAACAAGTCCAGACGACGGTCTGCTAAACGTGAGGAATATGCGGCCTTCTTGTACTCACCCCAGGTAAAGTGCCTGTAGAGACGAGGATTTTGGGACGAGACCATTTGTGGTATAGGAGATAAACATGCATTGAGGGGTGGAGCTCCGAAATACATCATTGACATTCTTGGCTTCACCGAGTTCGCTAGGGCCCGATGTCTAGCACTCACAAGCCTTCCATTTGTCAAAGCCTGCACATTTCACAGTATGATTTCATTGACTTGTGTTAGCAGCAAAAGACAACTACTGCATCAATCTTTGTACGATTTTCATAGAAGATGTTCCAAAGATTGTCAATTTCAAGATCGAAAGAATATATGGAGAAAGAAGGGCTTCAAGGCAGGTCATGAGTCACTACGTGTCACTTTCCAAAAAGAAGCAACTTTTCTAGACGTCTATTCAAAAAAAGATGTATTAGTCCTTCGTATATATGTTGGAAATATTCTAACTACTGATGCGAAACCCACACTAATGTGACTTTATAAGCACTAATTTAATTCATGCGCAAGGAAAGATGTCACTAACCTGCAAGGCATCGCCTACGAATACAAAGAACTGATTGGGATCAGGAGGAACAGGGATCCACAAACCATCACGCAAACAAATTTGTAGGCCACCCACGTCGTTAGATCGCAAGATTGTCAAGATCTGAGGGTCAGAATGCTCTCCGAATCCTATACGAGTTGGTTTGACATTGCAAGAATATTGCTCATCAATCAAGTTGGGTTCTGAAGAGTCAATAGTACTAATTGGAGGATAGTGATTAATCCTGAAGCAAGAGTCACTATTCACGTCTCTAATAAGTTTGCTAAATAGGGATTTGTCTTTGACCCGAAGCCCTTCAGCCACCAAATCAAGAATCTCACTTGCCAGATTCTTAACTGCTTGTACATAATCATTTACAGTACAACTGCAACCAATTGCAAATATAGAACATCAGTTCACTCGTCCCGAACGTATATAACTATTATAAAAAAATGTGTTTTTGTCGAACTTTTGATTAAAAATAAATGTACATGGGACTAGTCTATCGTAAGCATGTACAGAAACTTCTGGTTTCAACTTTGAAGGGTTGAAAAAGTAGTTTTGCAACCTTAAAATATATATCTACTGCATGCATTACAATTCAAATGGACTGTAAATTACCTGAAGTTATTTGGGTTGTTGGAAATGGCTTTAGATCTTTCAAAAATAGATTGAGGATTGGCTTCGAGGAGAATATATTCAAGCTCGCCTTTGTCGCCATTGAGTCCTATATTCTTGCAGCCATAACCAAAGGGAGTAGGAGGTCCAGCTCGTTGTTTTTCGAATGCAGGTTTTGAGAAAAATTCTAAACCTTCTTTCTCAGCTCTGGAAATTTTATCTTTGGAAACTCCATGATTAACCACCTTGAAGAAACCAAATTCTTCACTTGCTTTTACGATTTGCTCCGACAGTTGAGACCTGTCGAGACAGAGATCTATGACTGGAATTCCAAGGGCTCTAGTTTTTTTGCTTCGAAATGGAATTGCAGAAGGAATAACCATATCCGTTAAACTATTAGGAAGGGCGAGGGGGCGAGTGATGCTTGAAGAAGGGTTAACACGGATAAATCTAAAGACTCGGATGATACTCTGAAAATTTAGGGACAATGATATCTTGATTTGCAACGAACCCAATATTGAGAGAGGAATGAAGAGTCTTATTTTGAATTTATATATAGGCACTGGGGAGGGGCGGTCTGGGGTGACGACCTTTTGAAAATTTTAAAGAACATACTGGGTACACTAATATCAATATTGCTACATATACATCAAGTTTGACACTATATGTGTTGACAGTTTTTTTATATATTGATTTTAACAACTCGTTTCAATCAATGACCAGATTTCTTACACGTAGTAGTGGGTGTCAGACTTGACGTAAAACAAGGTGTACAGTTTTATTAAACAATATATGTTCTTAATTGGGACCTCTAACTCCACAAGATTACAATACATTAAGTTCCAAGAGGAACATGCTAGTTATGTTTAGTTAGAAAAGTGGCTTGCTAAGAAAAATTAACTCAATGCAACTCTTCAAATATAGTTTCAATTCATTTCTACGTGCACTAAATAAATAGTAACAGGATTTGAATTTATGTTGTTTAGCTACTTCGATATTATCTTGATCGATATTCTACACATTTATCTAAACTCTTGAATTTACTTGATAATCGATTAATTGGACGGGTTTTACTCGTATTAGTTTTATAGGTTAAATGTCAAATTTAAAGACGATCGATGTAAAAGGAACGATGAACTTGCATGCGAAGCAGGGGAGGAAATGAGAGCATAAAGTTTTCTACAAAGATTTTCTCAAGGTAAATGATAGTTTATTGAACACATGACACAGATAATTGAATTTGGAGTTCAATATTTTTAAATCAGGTCGCTGGTATAGAATGATACTCATAGTCAAAGTTATATATATAATAATAGAAATCAAAAAAAGAGGGGAAAGATTCCATACTACACAATAGAAAAATCATAGAGAGGAATTGTACATCATATAACCCTTCATAACATAATACATCAACATACAACAATTATTGGGGAGCAAATATACAAAGAATTCTTCAAGGCTTGGATGAATTGTAAAAGGAGGAGGAGGAAGAGGTCTTCTACAATTATTGAATATATTCAAAATTAAATATTATCCACTTAGGAATAAAGTCCACAAAAATATAGGCCCTGTTTTGTACGAATTAAAATCAGATTTTAATCTAAGTCAAAGTCAAACAAGCAATATTAACCACATCTTTCATGGGTCTCACAGCTTTTCAACCACACATTTTAAAATTTTCTATCACAATCTACTAAAAATATAATTTTAATTCCCACCAAACACCCCCATAGTCTAAAAATTTACATTTATACGTTTGTATTGGATTAAAATTTGATTTTTAATCTAAGTCAAAGTCAAACAATCAGTATTAATCACATTTTTCATGGATCTCACAACTTTTCAACCACACATTTTAAAAATTTATATCATAATTTACTAAAAATCTAATTTTAATCTCCACTAAACCCCACTATAACAATAGCACCAAGAATTCCGCGTGCGGGAATGTTTGTAAGAAATGTCTAAAGGAAGCAAACCTGACAATTGACATGGTAGCGGCGGTTTGTCCCCTCTCAATTGGAATATTCATGCCTAATGTGAATGTCCCGAACGCCCAAGGGGAAACGTCCTCCATCTTCTTTATAATTTTGTATTGTCATATTTAACATATTTATCAAGTTGAATTATTCATTATCAATAAAGATTATCATTAATTTAAGATCGCATGTTTCATTGATCAATTGAAAAGTATTACTTATTAATGCATCACTCATTTCTGTTTATTTATAGAAGTCAGATCATCATATACAAACCCTGCAGCGGGCAGGCCGCATATGTAAATGCGATCGTAATATTTATCGAGACGGAGAGCGACCCTTTTCCCCTCTTTGTTTATGAGAATTAGTGGACAGTTTAAAAAATCCTCAGCATTTATGTCTCAAAGATAAATAATTTATTTTATTTTATTCTATTGGATCAATAGTAATTAAGTTGGTGACGTGGCATGAACAAACGTGAGTAGTAGTTACATTGCTGCTAATATAGCGGCAAAATGACAACTTGGCGGCCCTTCTTCTGACTTTCGTAAAATCTTAAAACCTAACCAACAGTGACTGTTTTATCGAGGAATAAAGCAATGTCAATGTCGGCAGAAATGAACAGAACATATTTTTATGTCAAAAGCAGTCTTTATTCAACTCTTGCCCTTATCCGAGCTACTTAGTTCAATAGAAATTCTTAGGTACAAGGTATATGTACATAGAATTACATTCCAGGCACTGAAACTGCCAAAATTTACTCTCCAAAGTTATGAAAAAATGCCTTCATGAAAGTTGGCAAAAAGATTATCCTCTAGTTAGTAAACACGACATCGACAATATCAGGAAACCTCTCCTTTATAGCCGCTTTAATTCCCGATCCAATTGAATCAGGTCCCTCGTATTTTACTTGGCAATTCCCGTCCGTGATCGATAACACTTCCACACTCCCACCAAAATTCTTAATGGCTGGTCTCAGAATGTCTAAATGACCATTCACTGCCTGTACATATTTAAGTAAGCTGAATGTGAGACCTACTGACTACTGTATTCAAGTCTTGAGGCATTTATTCATCATACATACGAAGATTAGATATAAACTGACCTCAACGGTTGTCTCACTAATTTGTTCATCATTTATTTGGCAAATATCCTTGATTGCGTCTCCAAATTTTTCCTTGAGAACTCTTTCTATACCCATTTTCATGGTAGTGGTTGAGCTAGGACAGCTTCCACATGCTCCTGTTGTTCATTCATGAAGTACAGGTAAAGACAGCGGATAATAAAAAGATATGTCTGGCTAAGAATCAGAACAAGAAGCACAAGCGAACATAAACAAACTCACTCCTAGTACACAGAAATAAAAGTAAATATACATGGCAGAAAATGCCTTCAAAAAACCAGAAAGGAAAAAGGCAGCAATGCTAGTATATACTGCCAGCTGAAAGAAATTCGTTCTCAAAATACCAGTCTACCATACTTCTCTGTTCCTCGAGACAGTTGAGGCAGTGTGCTTTTATGATTCACCACATCCCTAAGAACAAAGCATACAACTCCATTGATCATCTTAATTTTCACCGCCTTAAAGCCCAAAACTATATGCTGAAGCTCATTAAAATGATCTCCCATGGAATAAAAACCCAAAATCCAACCTAAACAATGTACACATATGCATAAAAGACTGAGGATAACTATTGTATACAAGTGCCAAAGTTATCTCATTATGCCTACGTGCTCACTTTCATCACATTAATTCCACTAGATGAGGTCTCTTCCAATTCTTGCGCACCTTGATTCAAAATCTTTATGCTCATCATCCTTAGGGTTCCATGTTAGCAAATCCTTTCCCTACATTGCTTTTTGTTGGGTTACATTGAATTTGGATGTCCATTAAATTGCTTGACCATTTGTGATGCACATTTAAAATGAAATTTCAATGTAAGCTGCAACCATAAGCTCTGGTGCCGCGTTTTTTTAGAAGAGAAGTCTGAAGTCTTTCAAAAGTTAGGCTTGGGCCCCGATGGAAGTAGTGAAAAAAATACAAGATTGAATTGTTAGGTTGTTTTCAAATAAGATGGAAAGTATGGGCATGTTTATTGGCAACATGATAGAGTTTGTTAGAGACATTGAGCAAGGGTTATGAGAATTTGACATTGAGTTTTTCTTCTTGTACCAATATTTTCTATTAAAAGTAAGGGAAGGAGAAGGAAGAGGAGCAAGGTGGGAAGATTGTTAATAAGAAACTTCCCCAACTTTTTATGCCATTTGGGTCATCAACCTTCAACTTATGAAGCACCCTGTCTCCTTCCCCCCTGTCCAGCCTGATTTTCGATGAAGCGGTCCAAATGATCCAACTTGCCCCACAAGAAGGCTAGGGACCAAACTTCCAACGACCCCAAATGTTCGGACCATGGCTGCAATTTTTCCTGATGCATGGCATCATTAACATGTGCTTGAGGCATCCAAGACAAAGGAAGAATGACTATTACTGTTTTAATTCCATTAAAAAAGAGGTAAAACAGAAGAAAACTTAATATGATGTGAAGCAAATCCTGACCCTAATATGGACCTCACTGGCATAAATTCTGATGACACCACCTCAGAAATTTACCATCTCATGGGTTGATGTTTGATCGATTCACTATACAGTCGGACTTTAAAAGACAAAATCCTTATCCATGAATCCTAATTCATTATATTAACATCTATCTGTTGAGACCACGTTTAGGTTCAGTCTCATGGAGTGATTGGCTCCATTTTCAGTTCCAGAGTTTCAGTAAAATATGCTACTATAAAAAGAATAAACTAAGGTTATTATATGACTGTCAGCTATATGACTGGAGTATTGTTTAATTATTGATCCTTACAGGATAATGGTTGATCCAAAGAATTAATTGGAAATAACCTTAGTTTGGAAAAAAAATTGAAAAAGTGGGGGACAACTCATCTTTACCTATGTTCCAGATTACTAACTAAGAAATCTCTATCACATGCAGGGGAATGCATGTTTCACCACAGTTAGCTGAAAGAGCTCCATATCCCTTGTTGAGAAGGAATTGGCCTTCTAAAACTAAAAACAGGCCTTCAATTGCAAAGAATCTGTCATGATTCTTCGAAGCAAAGAAATGCCATATACACTCGCGCATTAGAAGGCAATCAAGATACTTATGTCAGTTTATCAGTGTCCCCAAACACTGTAAGCGTCATACTTAGGTCAAATGCATAAAATAAATGGCAGCAATATTCATATGTTATAACCAGCCAAAAATCATTCTCATATAGATCTGTAACCAAGACACTGTTCACACTTGAAAACACGAGATTGTCAAAGCAAACTATAATTCCTCGAGCAAACATTTAGCTTTAATATCAAAGCTGTAATGTCAATACCAAAACAACTTCAATAAGCAATTAAGTGCATTACAATCTGGACTTTGGCCTTACATAACGTGTTAGGTGTTATCGCGCAGTGAAGATAAGTTTCATAAAGCTAGTTGAAAATAAAATATCCAAAAAAAGCAATCAGGATTGATTAAGTTTGGCTCAAAAGATTCATTTACTATATGATGCTCATACCAACCATTTTGTTCCGTACGAGACACACTAAGTACGGTTAGTCCCAAGGCCACATTTAGGGCTTGTTTAAGCCCTATTTTTGGTGTAAAATGCATTCTGGAATAGTAGATTGATGAAAAATGTGTGGTTAAAAAATAAGGAAAAGTTTTGGATATGTATGTAATATTATTTTATTGAATAACATGTGGTTGAAAAGAAGAGAGAGAGAGATATATAAATATATTTTGAAAAAAAAAATGGGGATCAAACAACGGCTTACTATGAAACAAGACAAAAAATGATTCATCCTTTTAAATTTAATACTGCAGGTGAGGCTTCATAAAAACAGTGATACACCAGCAGTGATGTTTCCTAGAAGCTAATTGGTTTTTCATTTATAACTCCCCCCCCCCCCCCACCCACCCAATACAATCAAACTAAACACTGACATTTGGGAAACTAATATTCTGGTGCGCATGTTGCTGAACCTTATGCCGGTTGTTATTTTGTTCATTATATTTTAATAGCAGAATATTAGTTTCCAAATCGACAGCATTTAGCTTGATTGCTGTGTACCATACTTTAAAGGATAGCTTGGGCACTCTTTTGGGTATTATTCAATTTTATGTTGTACCGGTTGCAATTGATTCAGCAAATCACAGGAGAGAAAGTCTATCTTCTTCTTTGAGGATTTTAGTTTCCTTTCTGGCTTCTATGCCACTCTCCCCTCTATTGGGTTTCCAATTACGGTTTCCTTCCTTTGTTTAATTCTCTGTCCAATTGGTGATTTTTTTGAGTAATTCTAGTGATCTCCTGTATCTTTGTTAGGATCTCTTTCTATTTTTGTAGAAGTTTTGTAGGCATCAGCATCAGAATCCAGCGGCATCCATATACAAAAAGGCCTATTATTAAGACAGTCTGTTGCTACAGGTACATCTTCTTATTTTACTGCTTTAATTGAACAATATGTATGTTCCCTGGTTTATGGTTTAATTCTTCTTAGATATGCATGACATGTTCATGAAAAATCTAGTTTTTCTTCCCCCTTTGTTTTTTGGGTGTTGACTGTTGATTTAATTTTTTGAAACGATTTGGATTCTGAAAGTTTAAGTCTTTATGATTGTTCTACGACCAACAAAGAAGAACAGAAAAATCTGCAAATATAAATCTGAAGTTCTGAAAGAAAAACAGGGCGAATTACGATTTTGCTCCATAATACAACCAGTTTTTCCCACAACTACTTCTACTGAATTGATGTTAGATCAATTACCGCTGCAAATTCCATCATGCTAATTCTATTTTCTAAAGCATGCACGATAATTTGTAAAAAAGATCTTCAAAAAAAATAAGCACGCACCTTGAAGCTTGAGCGAAACGACACCGCTTTCAACGGACACAACATCGACATTTCCGCCGTCAGCGATGAGGTAAGGCCTGACGTTCTCAAGAACTTTGTCAACGTTCTCTACGGTGAGTTCGAATTGCTCGGCGGAATACAGCCCAGCGGTGGCGGAAGGGGGCCCACTTGCACCGACTGAGGCTTTTACAATAAATTCTCTATTATTCGGTTGATTTTTCTTCTTGTGATTAAAAGATCTGATTGAGACTGAGAGGGGTTTGTGGTATTTGTTGTTCGTGATTTTTGAAGAAGAAGGGAATTGGGACAATCCAACCGTTGCTGCAGAGGACGCCATAGTTGCTTCTCGAGGAGATAATTATTATACGAAATTATTCTGGCCAGCGATTTTCATCCTCTCCCATTATTTATTGTAGAACATAATTTCACAAAAATAAAATTTTAAATAAATTTTAATAAAAAATGATGAAATGTATTATTAAAATTTCACAAAAATTAAGAATTTTATAAAATAAATGATTAAAAATAAGTTTAGGAATAAATGAATTTTGAAAAATGAATCATACCCTCATTTGAATTTCCTATATATTTTTTTGCCAATTTATGCACCTCCATTTACAAATAGCCCACATTAGAGCATCATTCCATCAAATTAATTTTTAACTAAATTTATTTTTAAATGCATATTTTTCAATAAAATAATTTGTACATAATTTTCTTTTTTTTGAAATAAAATTTACTTTTCGTTACACGTTCATCAAAAAATTACTTTTTACAAATTCTACTCTAAAAAATGAGGCTCAATTAGAGCTAAATGTCTTTAAATTTTTCAACTCTTCGAAAAATAAATGATATGTAACACCACATCTACTGTAATATTAGTCATATGTTCAATTAAATGTAAAATTACGTAACTTATTTAAATGTCATTTAGTCATATCTGAATTGCAATAGTCTCATTCGACAACTTTCTCTTTTCACTAATTGTGATTGTATATTGTTACCTCCCTCATAACATTCAATTAGATTTCATATCCTTGATGGCGTGTTAATTTTCACATTTTGAAATTTTAGGTATCCATCCCATGGGTTCAAGCCAACAAATTGATTCAAAAATCAAATATTCTTTATTTGGCTCTTTCCGAAGTCTTTTCTATGCCAACGAAATCTCTTGGAGGTACACTTTATTTTATGACATGTATTGATGATCATCCAATAAAGATTTAGGCATTCAGTCTGAAATCTAAAGATCAAGTGTAAAATGTGTTCAAAGAATTTCATGCTAAGGTTTAAAAGGAAAATAAGTAGACACTTAAAAGTAGTTCGAACTAATAATGATGATGAGTACATGGGTCGTGTGAAAGGTGTTGCAAAGTTCAAGGCATCATGCTTGAGAAAACTCTAGAAAAAATACATCAGAAAAATGATGTGGTTGAGAGCGCGAAGAAAATAATCGAGGAAAGGGTCATTTGTAGTTGTCTCATGGGAAACTACCAAAACACTTTTAGATGGAGGGCATGAAAACCTTATGCCATCTAATAAATCTATCTCTTGCATCATCTTTAGACAATGATGTTACGAATGGAGTTTGGATGGAAAACAGGTCTCTTGTTATAATTTGAGATTTGACTGCAAAGCATTTGTTCATATTTCGAAAGATGAAAATTCAAGTTCGATAATAAGGTGAGAAACAATGTATTTTCTTGTGTCATAGCCACAAAGATTTTGGGTACACACTATAGAATCAAGTGGGCAAGAAATTGTCAGAAGTAGAGATGTTATATTTCTTAAAGACCGACTTATTGACGATGATGACAAAGTTGAGAAACAATCCATTGGTGAAATTTCTATTAATTTGGGTCCAATTCATCCACGACACGTGTAGTGCATGACGATCACGTGGGAGATGTTCAAGAAGACCACAGTGACACTACTGATAATTGTTGAACCATGTTAATTTGGTTTTGTTATAATTGATTGATTATCCTATTTTATTTACACAAAGAGGGGAAACTTATAATTTCGTTGTGCATTAGTTATTCCGTTTTCTCAACCATCTCAACGTTCAAATTGACCTCTTTCCAATTTTGTTTCATAATTTGGAATTTAAAAAAAAAAAACAAAAAGTTTCATTTAATCAATATCTTTATTTTGGAAAACTCATGGGATTGGTCGACTCTCTATTTAACGAGTGATTGGTTCAATTATTTCAAGGGATGGCCATTCTATATGTGAGAAGATCTTTCTATTTCGGTGGAAGACATACATGGTTTCTCAATGAGGACTTGAGCAAGGTAAAATTCAACTTATTTAAAAAAATTTGAAGAATGTACATATTACAAGGCTTTACTTTGTTATTTATTGTTCGTCTATTTTTTTTTTATTATTAAAATTTCTTGGAGACTGCTGTTAAAGCTGTCACGATTGTTATTCGAGTTTTGCGGAGATTGTGATTATCATGTTGGCTGTTAGTGTTATCTCCCTTCATAAACCAGAGCCATTTTTCTTGTTTGTTGGCTGTAATGCGATTGAACAAATAATCAATCTCTACACAGCCAATCATATGACGTGTGTTGCACGTACAATGCACGTGCAGAAAACTAGTAATGTGAAATTTAAATGGAATATAGAAGTAATTGGAGAGGAAGAAACATTGAAATTAATTTGGCAATCTTCTCTTTAATTTCATACTTTAGCGTGGTAGGTGTTTACCGATTCTTGGTATCGGTGTAGTGTTTATCCTTTAAATGGAGACTTGAATGGAGCAATCAACTCCTCGCAATCAGAAACCATGCCATGTTACTAATCCATTTAGGAAAAAACAGGCATTTTCACCTTCTGATTCTCTCGATACACTATCACAGCCTCTGATGAAGCTCAAGGAAGGAAAATCAGTGGCCCCATGTCTTGCTCCTCATCAATAAACTATACTTGAAACACCAAGTAAAGCTGTGCAAGATGGTTCTGTAAGCCCAACCTCGGGAAAAACCATGATCAGCTTTGTCAAACCACATTTGTCAACCTTCTACCAAGTTACGCCAAGGAAAACTTTTTTCAATTTTTCTAGTGCATGTTAATGTCCCAACGGTGCACACTTTAATCTTATTAGTTACGTATAGCCAGTGGCCCACTCTTCTATTGAATAGATTTGTGAATGTTTTTTGGTTTGGATTGTATGAATAGACAATATAGCTGAACCCCTTATGAAAGGTTTTAAAGCAACTAAAAATAGGTTCTACATACTGGCCACAGCTAAAAACTCCAAGTCGATCGTAACCTTAAAGAAGACGAAACAAGCGCGAGTGAAAATTTAAGGATGCACGCGTCGTGTAGTGCATGACGATCACGTGGGAGATGTTCAAGAAGACCAAAGTGACACTATTGATACTTGTCGAACCATGTTAATTTGGTTTTGTAATAATTGATTGATTATCCTATTTTATTTACACAAAGAGGGAAATTATAATTTCGTTGTGCATCAATTAGTCCGTTTTCTCAATATGAACTTATTTCTAAAGTTTGCATCACGATTTGTTTTCTGGATTATCTTTCAATTCTTATTTAGTTTTTGCAAAGATGGATTTATTGTCGGTGCTACTCAACGTTCAAATTGACCTCTTTCCAATTTCGTTTCATAATTTGGAATTAAAAAAAATGAAAAGTTTCATTTAATCAATATCTTTATTTTGGAAAACTCATGGGATTTGTCGACTCTCTATTCAAAGAGTGATTGGCTCAATTATTTCAAGTGATATCCATTATATCTGTGAGAAGATCTTTCTGTTTGGGTGGAAGGCGTACATGGTTTCTCAGTGAAGATTTGAGCGTGGTAAAATCCAACTTATTTGCAAATTTTTGAAGAATATACATACTACAAGGCTTTACTTTGTTATTTATTGTTCGTTTATAAATTTTTTTTTTATTCGAATTTCTTGGAGACTGGGTGTGATTATCATATTGGTTATTAGAGTACCGATTCCCTAAATTTCTTTTCACTCATTTTCTAGGTAAGTGCAACACGAATGCAATACTTTCAAAGCTATCACAATTGCTATTCGAGTTTTGTGGAGATTGTGATTATCACGTTGGCTGTTAGTGTTATCTCCCTCCATAAATCAGAACCATTTTTCTTGTTTGTTGGTTGTATTGTGATTGAAGCAGATAATCAACCTCTACACAACCAATCATATCACGTGTGTTGCACGTACAACACATGTGCAGAAAACTAGTAATGTGAAATTTAAATGGAATATAGAAGTAATTGGAGAGGAAGAAACATTGAAATTAATTTGGCAATCTTCTCATTTAATTTCATACTTTAGCGTGGTAGGTGTTTAGCTATTCTTGGTATTGATGTAGTGTTTATCTTTTAAATGGAGACTCGAATGGAGCAATCAACTCCTCGCAATCAGAAACCATGTCATGTTACTAATCCATTGAGGAAAAGCACGCATCTTTCACCTTCTGATTCTCTTGATATACTATCGCAGCCTCTGATGAAGCTCAAAAAAGGAAAAGCAGCGGCCCCATCTTTTGCTTATCTTCAATAAGCTATACTTGAAACACCAAGTAAAAATGTGCAAGATGGTTCTGTAAGCCCAACCTCGGGAAAAACCATGATCAGCTCTGTCAAACCACATTCGTCAACCTTCTGCCAATTCACGTCAGGGAATTTTTTTTTCAAATTTACAAGTGCCTGTTAATGTCCCAATGGTACGCTCTTTAATCTTATTAGTTACGTATGGCCAGTGGCCCTCTCTTCTAGTTGAATAGATTTGTAAATGTTCTTTGGTTTGGATTGTATGAATAGACAATATAGCTAAACCCCTTATGAAATGTTTTAAAGCTACTAAAAATATGTTCTAAACATTGGCCCAGCTAAAAATTTTAAGTCGATCGAAACCTTAAGAGAAGACGAAACAAGCGTGACTGAAAATTTAAGGCATACACACGCGTCGTCGTGTAGTGCATGACGAAATGTTCAAGAGGACCACGGTGACACTATTGATAATTGTCGAACCATGTTAATTTGTTTTTGTAATAATTGATTTATTATCCTATTTTATTTACACAAAGAAGGAAAATTATAATTTCATTATGTATTAATTAGTCCATTTTCTCAATATGGACTTATTTCTAAAGTTCCTATCACAATTTTTTTTCCTCGATTATCTTTCAATTCTTATTTAGTTTTTGTAAAAATGGATTCATTGACGGTGCTACTCAACCATCTCAACGTTCAAATTGACCTCTTTCCAATTTTGTTTAGTAATTTGGAATTAAAAAAAAAAACAAAAACAAAAAGTTTCATTCAATCAATGTCTTTATTTTGGAAAA